AGCTAATGATGATGATCATGTAACTTCAGATCAAGTTACTACTGAATCTCATAGGTAAACCAGAGTGAGATCCGCACCAGAGTGGTACGGTAATCCTGTTCTGGAAGTCATGTTACTAGACCATGACGAACTTGCGAACTATGAGGAAGCGATGATGAGCCCAGATTCCGCGAAATGGTTTGAGGCCATGAAATCTGAGATATGATCCATGTATGAGAACAAAGTATGGACTTTGATGGATTTGCCCGATGATCGGCAAGCCATAAAAAATAAATGGATCTTCAAGAGGAAGACGGACGTTGATAGTAGTGTTGCTATCTACAAAGCTAGAATTGTCGCAAAAGGTTTTCGACAAGTTCAAGGTGTTGACTACGATGAGAGTTTCTCACTCGTATCTATGCTTGAGTCTGTCCCAATCATGTTAGTAATTGCCGCATTTTATGAAATCTGGCAAATGGATAAACAAAACTGCATTCCTTAATGGATTTATTAAAGAAGAGTTGTATATGATGCAACCAGAAGGTTTTGTCAATCCGAAAGGTGCTAACAAAATGTGCAAACTCCAGCGATCCATCTGTGGACTGGTGCAAGCATCTCGGAGTTGGAATATACGCTTTGATGAGTTGATCAAAGCATAAAGTTTTATACAGACTTGCGGTGAAGGCTGTATTTATAAGAAAGTGAGTGAGAGCACTACAACATTTCTGATAAGTATATGTGATTGACATATTGTTGATCGAAAATAATGTAGAATTATTCTGTAAAGCATAAAGGAGTGTTTGAAAGGAGTTTTTTCAAAGAAAGACTTCGGTGAAGCTGCTTACATATTGAGCTTCAAGATCTATAGAGATAGATCAAGACGCTTGATAAGTTTTTTTCAATGAATACATACATTGACAAGATTTTGAAGTAGTTCAAAATGGAGCAGTCAAAGAAAGAGTTCTTGCCTGTATTACAAGGTGTGAAGTTGAGTAAGACTCAAAGCCCGACCACGACAGAAGATAGAAAGAGAATGAAAGTCATTCCCTATGCCTTGGCCATAGGTTCTATAAAGTATGTCATGCTGTATACCAGATCTATTGTATACCCTGCACTGATTTGGCAAGGGAGTACAAAAGTGATCTAGGAGTAGATCACCGGACAGCGGTCAGAATTATCCTTAGTGAAATAAGGATATGTTTCTTGATTATGGACGTGACAAAAAGGTTCGTCGTAAAGGGTTACGTCGATGCAAGTTTTTGACACTGATCCAGATGATTCTAAGTCTCAATCTGGATACATATTAAAAGTGGGAGCAATTAGCTAGAGTAGCTCCGTGCAGAGCATTGTAGACATAGAATTTTGCAAAATACATACGGATCTGAATTTGGCAGGTCCGTTGACTAAATTTCTCTCACAAGCAAAACATGATCACTCTTTGGGTGTTAATCACATAGCGATGTGAACTAGATTACCGAATCTAGTAAACCCTTTGGGTGTTGGTCACATGGCGATGTGAACTATGGGTGTTAATCACATGATAATGTGAACTATCAATGTTAATCACATGGTGATGTGATCTAGATTATTGACTCTAGTGCAAGTGGGAGACTGAAGGAAATATGCCCTAGAGGTAATAATAAAGTTATTATTTATTTCCTTATATCATGATAAATGTTTATTGTTCATGCTAGAATTGTATTAACCGGAAACATAATACATGTATGAATACATAGACAAACAGAGTGTCACTAGTATGCCTCTACTTGACTAGCCCGTTAATCAAAGATGGTTATGTTTCCTAACCATGAACAAAGAGTTGTTATTTGATTAACGGGATCACATCATTAGTTGAATGATCTGATTGACATGACCCATTCCATTAGCTTAGCACCCGATCGTTTAGTATGTTGCTATTGCTTTCTTCATGACTTATACATGTTCCTATGACTATGAGATTATGCAACTCCCGTTTGCCGGAGGAACACTTTGTGTGCTACCAAACGTCACAACGTAACTGGGTGATTATAAAGGAGCTCTACAGGTGTCTCCAAAGGTACATGTTGGGTTGGCGTATTTCGAGATTAGGATTTGTCACTCCGATTGTCGGAGAGGTATCTCTAGGCCCTCTCGGTAATGCACATCACATAAGCCTTGCAAGCATTACAACTAATATGTTAGTTGTGAGATGATGTATTACGGAACAAGTAAAAAGACTTGTCAGTAACGAGATTGAACTAGGTATTGGATACCGACGATCGAATCTCGGGCAAGTAACATACCGATGACAAAGGGAACAACGTATGTTGTTATGCGGTCTGACCGATAAAGAACTTCGTAGAATATGTAGGAGCCAATATGGGCATCCAGGTCCCGCTATTGGTTATTGACCGGAGACGTGTGTCGGTCATGTCTACATTGTTCTCGAACCGTAGGGTCCGCATGCTTAAAGTTACGATGACAGTTATTATGAGTTTATGCATTTTGATGTACCGAAGTTAGTTCGGAGTCCCGGATGTGATCACGGACATGACGAGGAGTCTCGAAATGGTAGAGACATAAAGATTGATATATTGGACGACTATATTCGGACACCGGAAGTGTTCCGGATGAATTTCGGATAAAACCGGAGCACCGGGGGTTACCGGAACCCCCACGGGGGGTTAATGGGCCTTATGGGCCTAATGCGGAGAAGAGGAAGGGGCTGCCAGGGCAGGCCGCGCGCCCCCTCTCCCCCTAGTCCGAATTGGACAAGGAGGGAGGGGCGGCGCCCCCCCTTTCCTTCTCTCCCCCCCTCTCTCCTACTTGGACAAGGAAACGGGAGGGGAGTCCTACTCCCGGTAGGAGTAGGACTCCTCCTGCGCCCTCCTCTAGGCTGGCCGCACCCCCCCCCTTGGATCCTTTATATACGGAGGCAGGGGGGCACCCTAGAACACACAAGTTGATCCTCGTGATCGTTCCTTAGCCGTGTGCGGTGCCCCCTGCCACCATATTCCACCTCGGTCATATCGTTGTAGTGCTTATGCAAAGCCCTGCATCGGTAGAACATCATCATCGTCACCACGCCGTCGTGCTGACGGAACTCATCCCCGAAGCTTTGCTGGATCGGAGCCCGGGGAGCGTCATCGAGTTGTACGTGTGCTAAGAACTCGGAGGTGCCGGAGTAACGGTGCTTGGATCGGTCGGATCGGGAAGACGTACGACTACTTCCTCTACGTTGTGTCAACGCTTCCATTGCGATCTACAAGGGTACGTAGATCATACTCTCCCCTCTCGTTGCTATGCATCACCATGATCTTGCGTGTGCGTAGGAAAATTTTGAAATTACTACGTTCCCCAACAGGATTCACAATCGAAACTTATTTGTTTATCATCTAACTAGTCAAGGACAAGCAGGGACTAACCTTGGGGTGTTGATACGTCTCAAATATATCTATAACTTTTGCTATGATCATTCTAATTTTATATTATTATTGCATAATTTTGGCATACTTCTAAAGAATATACTGGACTAATCTATTAAGCCATTGCCTAGTGCTAGTTATTTTCTACATGTTTTTAATTTTCATAAAACATTATTTCATGGATAGAAAAAATAAGACAAAATACTTCATGATGTTTTGGATCAGGATGAAGCCAAAGCCCACAAGATCTAGAAGGGAAGGACCTTGTGAGCCCCACACAGCCCGACTCGTGGCATATGGCTAGGGAGCGAGGTGGAGGCCCGTGGGTCCCACAGAGTGACTCTCCACTGCCTCTTTCTTTATCTCCATTTATAATGCTTCAAAACCCCTATTTTTATTTATCAAGGATTTTTTATACCGCCGCGACCTCCTTTTCTGTGACAGTCCAACGTGGAGGACTTATTCGGTACTCCGCCAGACGGGGGAATTGTCGCCAGAGGTATGTTCATCAACCTTGCTTCCACCATGTCCATGTGTGAGTAGTCCTTATTGGACTATGCATCCATAACAGTAGCTAGATGACATCTTCTCTCTCATGTTCTTTTATACAAAGATCACTTGAGCTGCCTAACATGATTGTGATCCATCTTATGTAACTATTAGTGTATTTGTTGTGGTGTGATGTACTGTTACTTTATGATCATATCTATATATGATTTATAATGAATTCTTATGAGTGCTTTGTTGCATGTTTTATGGACACATATACTATCTAATTTACTAATCTAGCACCAGTCATGTTTAGATGAATTATGTCCAAGAGGGGCTTGCATATGTTAGTTGGGTTTAACCTTGCAACTAATCTACCTCACTGCCAAAAGTAGAAAAGGGCTTAGGATATAAAGATAGTTTCCCAGTTGTCTCGGTGATGAGCTGGAGGTAAAGAGAATAAATTATGTATAGTATCTCACTTTGCTTAATGAAAATGCTCTGTTTTACTTAATACTTGGATATGCATGATGGATAGTTGTCTAAGTGGAGTTTTAGATATAGATGTAATTGGATAAGAGTCTACGGATACAAGGACATAATGCCTGTCTGCAATAATGCCATATATAATCAATTACAAAAACTTCAATTTTATTGCACAATTGTAACTTGTTCACAACACCTATGCTATGTTTTCTAGAGAGATGCCACTAGTGAAGTTATGGATCCCGGTCCTTTATTCCTCATAATCACAACCTCGATCAAACTCTTTTTTTATTTTTTTGTTTTTACAATCTGAACCATTTTGTTTAATTTCTTTCAATCATCAATTCCAACCACACTATTTGTTAATCCTTGTAACTGGCAAGGCTAGTGAGACTCACAACCTCACTTTCTAAGTTTTGGACCAAGAAGAAGTTATCTAATTGTGTGTAGGTGACGTTCATTGAGTGTAGACAAGTGCTCCATCAGATTGATAAGATTGGTTCTTCACTATAAGAAATACTTGTACCGCAAACCCTTGCCCTTCAAGGACCAACAACTGTGTCCACATGGCATAAATATTAGCTGGGAATATAAGTACCAATGCCCTACCAATGTCAGGTCATGTTGTTGATATTAATTATTTCAGCGGATGCATATAGCTTTCTGAAGCGCTTCAGTGATCATCCCAGGTGCAATGGTAGCAGAACCTACTGCAAGCTGCAATAATCCAACAATGATTGGTAAATAAAACAATAACATGGAGCCTTAATTAACACTACATTATCTATATTATCAGACCAACCTTAGAAGTTGGTGCGATCGAGGCTTGCTGAGTAGCTCGTATCTTGAGATCAAGAAGACCTTCCGGTGTGGATGCGTGCACAGAGACGATGTCCAGGCGGAGGCTCTTGATAGCGTCGAACACCCGTGTCATCAACAACCCCTTCCATCGGCACTGCACCTCCAAGAGCACCTCCTTGTCCATCACGGTCACATTAACAATGTTGCTTGGGCAATCATTGTCCTCCATCTCCGTCTCTAGCACCTTCCTCTTTGATCCAGTTGATAGCTTGATCTTCTTCCCGCTGACAACCTCATGGATCCCCCGTCCCATTGCTTCATTTGGGCGCGATGACGGTGCCCTGCTAGTTTCTAGCTCTTCTACCCTTTGTTCTAGCTCTCTGAGATAGGTTATAGTTTCAGCTAGGATGGATGCTTTGTCCATCTGGAAACCAGAAAAAATAAAGCTATGAAAAAACAATGTATGTAATTTGCGAAGAAGAAATGGGTGTTAGATATTACTACCTTGTTAATGGACGGGACCATTGACTTGAGAACTAGGAACATATCATTGAGCTTCTCTCGGCGCCTCCTTTCCGACAGGACATGCGTCTTGATGTTACTTTCTTGAGGTCTCGTTGTCCATGCACCGCCGGCTATAGCTTTCTTCAACAACTTTTGTGACTCCCCGGTGACCCGCGCAACCATGTCTTCACAGTCAGATGACCTCTTCCACACCGTAAAGCAGGATGGACGAGAGCCTTTAACAAAGCTACTTAAAGTGATGATGGCATCATCAATGCTCCGTGCGTCCATGTCTGGTGCCATTTCCAAGGAAGACATGTACTCAAATGACCTTTCCATGACCCAGTTGTCCTCAAGAGAACGCACATCCAACTCCTCGATGAGGCCATAGAACTCGTCCACCTCCTCAGTGACATGATCAAGGTTGACGTCGGACATGCACTCGACCTCCCCAAGCTCAGAGATTATCCCCTTGGCGACATTGTGATCGAGGTCTTCTAACACGACGATGTCTACCTCCCTGTTCCCTGCTTCGTCTATTGATGGATTGGAGCTTGGCAGCTCAGACTCCGAGCATGCCAAAAAGGGTAGCTCCCAGAAAGATGTGCCAATCTGGTTCACCATATTCGGATCCTCCAATACCTAGCAAATCCATTGATATATCTTTGTTAGTAGCACTTCATTAATGTGGATAAAGAGGGGAATTGTGTCCTACAGTTGACGAGGTAGCTTTCTTAACCTTGTGCACAAAACACATATATATTTTTTACACCGGTCATGACATGAAAAAAATGAACCTTAATAATACTCTACAAAGTGAAGTGCCTGTGAAGGATAATTGTTGACAAGTGTCATGATATTTCAGAATGACATGTATCTCATATGCATGGGGACAAAAACATGTACTCCCTAGAGTAGTGATCTAAACGGTCTTATATTTGTTTGCAGAGGAAGTAGTATGTTATAGGCAGGTGTTGATTTGTGTTTGCTGACGGGTAAAAACATCAATGTGCTTGATATACGGTAGTAAGATATATTGCATACGAGCTTTCAAACATCATCCACTTGAGGTATCATCATTGACAGGTGAAGTGAGTCACATACCTGTGATGACCTTGTCGCTCCTACAAAGCTAACAACAACCCTTCATTCGAGCCTAGTGTCCCGTCATATTCTAGTCTCAAACTGACACCCACATTGATGGAATCATCCAGATTTAGATAGTGTAATTTTTGACCCTCAACTAATCGTGTCATTTGCAAAATATATTTTTATATAGAGCAATGCTACACTTACGAAGGATTCTACATAAGTCCTGCGTGATTATGCAGATGGCAATTTGTGATTGGAGATGGAGGAAGAAGGAGCCCACCCCACCTGAAATTCAGAGGAGGGGGGGGGGGATACGTTCGTAGCTGTTAGTAGATGTAGGATTTTGGGTTTATATAATACTATTTAATATTAATACTGTTAATGTTTTTCTCTATAAACTTGATTATAAAAAATTGATTTTGATAGAGAAAACTATACAACCTAATTTGGGAGGGGTGGGGAGTATTGGAAATTGAAACCGTCACTAATAAAAAAGTTTGCGTGCACCCGTCGGCAAAACTAAAGGAAATAATATGTTGATAGTTACTCAAAAAATAAAGTGAAAATATTCACACACAAAACTTAAAGAAAAAATGAAATGCCCTCACCAAATCCAATGTCCCGAGCTCGAGCACGCCACCCATGAAGGGAATGCAAACAACTGTCTGAAAAATGTGATCCAGCTGGGGATCAGAGATCTAGAAGGCACACACGTACTTAAGAAAAATGTATACAGATGCATATATGGCGATCAAAGCATGTGAAGTAATAAAGAGGTAATGTGCTGACCTGAATAGGCGCGGTCTGATTTAACCGTCCGGTAGCGTGGACAAGCATCATGATGTTAGTTAACGGCCGAAAGATGTATACATAGCTTGAGATAAATATGCACGATACCTTTGCTAAGAGAGCGCGCTGGAAAGTTTTGGTGTCTGCGTATTGAGCGTTGTATAACCAAACATGTTGATTGCTCGCAAAGCTCTTGCCTGGCAACCTGAATGTAACTAAGTAAGTGCTCCCTCTGTTTTTAAATATAAGTCTTTTTAGAGATTCCAATACGAACTACATGCGAAGCAAAATAAGTGACCTCTAAAATATGCCTATATACATCGTAGTATATATTCCATATTGAAACATTTTCACTCTACAATCAAAAGAAGTACAAGAGACTAGCTTGACTTGTTTAGAGTAATGTTTCGTCGGTTTTTCTTCCTGTTCTAGGCGCGTCCAAAATTTACAGCATGTCGGAGTAAAAGAAAGTTGTATCGTCGTGTTTTTATGTAGTTTCGTCAGGTTTCTTTTTAGTCTTATTAAGAGTGTACCGTAATGTTTCACCATGTATCTGCAAAACTGAATGCACGCATCTCCAGTACAATTAAACTAGCTAGGGCGCGCGTATAGTAGAAAAAACTTTTCTCTTGTGCATATAGGAGTAGTTGCATACGTACGTACCCTTGACCAGGCCGGAAGGCATAAGTCATGCTTAGCGTGTGGTACCACTCGGCTTCCCCGAGATCCTCCGGCGACAGCGAGGCGGCGGGACGCTTGGCACGGTGGTCCGCCTTGCCGGACAAGAGCGACTGGTAGAGCTCCCTCAGTTGCTCGCTTCTCTGCAGGACGAGGTCGTCGGCGGTAAGCTCCGTCGTGGTGGAGCTAATGATCTTCCTTGTCTTTACCTCGCCGTTATAGAACCCGTTCTTCCATGTCAGAACTCTACAAAAACAAACCGACAGGTTTCGGACATGAAAAGTAGGAACTTTTCGAATTTGCTTCACGCAAGAAAGTACAAACTTGTGACCAGCTATGTGTCCATACATGAATGTACTCTGTATGGATGTGTATAAATAGGTACTATGTAGCTGGTTTATTACCCAGGTGGGCGCAGGCCGGTGGACATGGACCAGAAAATGGCGTAAGTCCAGTTGATGCTCCTCACAGCAGCGGCGAGCTGGTAGCTCAACTGCTTCCCCGACGGCGGTTCCTGCTGGCCCTGGCCGGGAGCAGCAGCTGATACTGATAGCGCCATTGATTGCCACGCTAGCTTTGCTGTTTCCTGCATATGCATTGCATGCGCAGGCGAGCAAACAAAGTAAGGTAGCCTTCCAACTGAAACAGAATTACTAAGGACAACTTCTAATGCTTACTTGAGCTCTTGGTGTGTGTGCAGACTGCAGAGCAAGAAGAGCCGTACGTTCGTGCTCCCGTTAGAGAGGAAGATATGGATCTGCTATATACGAAAACAGGCCAAGAGCATCTATCTGATGCAGAGGCCCGGGAAGCCCCCCTTTTCGAGAAAAAACGAAAACAGGCCAAGAGCATCTATCTGATGCAGAGGCCCGGGAAGCCCCCCTTTTCGAGAAAAAACGAAAACAGGCCAAGAATCCAAGGCAAGTTATATAGAATCTCGGAGCAGCGGGGCAATGACAGAGACACGGACAGCAGAGCACTCCTGGTTACGCCAACACCTAGCAACATACTCTTCCCGCAAAAAAAGAAAAAAAAAGCTAGCAACATACTCCATTTAAGGCATTTTATCAAAAACACAAAAATACCATTTTTAGTAAGCCGCGGCGGTGAGAAAACCGTAGCCACAGGGGGTGGTCCATATTAGCCCCAGCCCTAGCCCCAGCTGTAAACTCTTCCCCTTTGTCTCTAAGCGCATAGCAACACATGTGATTGTGAGCAGACACAATGCAAAAGTCCTCGATCATGCATGTCATTGTTAGATTATACATACCACTGATTTCAGCACAGCATGGAGCATGCATGAGCAGCCAAACGTGCCCAAATATAATTGCGAGGCCGTAGAAGCTAGCAAAGGAAATCAAAGATGAAAACTACGGATTTGTCCGTATGAGCAACACATTTGCATCGATGATAAGTGCTGGTATGGTGAGTCATAGAAATGAGTGGGTGGTGGGAGCAAAGGACAAAGGGAGCCCGTCAGCTAGTGCCTTTGCTCTCGCCTTCGTGCTCGCTCATTTGACGTGGCCACCGTTGTCCGTCCTCTTCGTTGCGGTCGCCGGTCGGGGTGCCGGCCGGCTGCCGCCACCGTTATCCATCTGTCCAGTGTTCCAACGATATTAGATTGGCATTGTGTGCGTGCAGCCACTGGTTTGTGTGTAGGACACGTGATCGCCGGGAAGCAATCGGCTGCTCATGTATATCGATCAATCAAGGAGGCTAGCTTGGCTAGCTAGCTTTGTACGTGGTGACCTCCTCGGCAGAAGGCACCGACCGGCAAGGAATCGCATCTTCACTGTATCTCTTGGAAAGTACTCACGGATCGGGCATGCGCCAAAAGTCTTGGAATGGATGAACAGTGTCGAGAAGAAAACACAAGCGCGTCTGATCGATTTTGCCTGTACTGATTTGGTAGTTGTTTTGTTTGTCTTCCGATTTTACCCCTTAATCAAAAAATACTGTTCATCTTGTTCGGTAGTACTAATCGATCCAGTCCATTGAATGATCGAGAATGGACGGCTCATATTGTTTTGATGTACCGTAAAAGATCTCAAAAAGATACTGGCATATAAACTTACACCCATCCAATGCAGGAGCTGGAGGACGGACGGGGCCTTGTCATCGCCAAAGAAGCAAAGTGGCAGCCGGCGCCGCATCGACTTGCGACCGCACGCTGAGATCAGGCCCTTGTTTTAGATGCTGATCCCTCAAAAACTTTGACATCCACAGGAAACAACGTGGCTAAATATTTGACAGACACTGAGTACCATCTCTAGATTTTCACAAAAATGTATATTACTTTGTCTCTTGACTATGCGAGCACGACATCGCTGGCTTCGTCCCTGCCTCTCCCTCTCCCTCTCCCTCTCCCTCAATGTGTGTGTGTAACACCCCGCATGTAACTTACCATATTTGTACTTCAACTCTTGCCATTTTCGGCTTAAGTTATGATATTCCCTCGTGGTTGGATTTTGTCTTTGTTTTGCTTTTTGTCCATGCTCTGCATTTCATATCATGTCATCATGTGCATCGCATTTGCATACGTGTTCGTCTCATGCATCTGAACATTTTTCCCGTTGTCCGTTTTGCGATCCGACCCTCCTACGTCCTCCGGCACCCCCTTTTGTCTTTTTTCTTGTGCGGGTGTTAAACTTTCTCGGAATGGACCGAGATTTTCCAAGCGGCCTTGGTACACCACCTGTAGATCGTCTGTCAAGTTTCGTGCCATTTGGAGTTCGTTTGATACTCCAACGGTTAACCGGGGAACCGTAAAAGCCTCGTGTGTGTTGCAGCCCAACACCCCTCCAAAGTGGCCCATAACCCATCCTAAACCCTTCCATCCTCTCGGCCGTTCGATCACGATCGCGTGGCCGAAAACCGCACTCCATTTGGACTCTCATAGCTCCCTCTACCTATATATTTGTGCTCCTCTCGGATTTTTTCGCGCAGTCTAACCCTAGACCTCCCTCTCCCTCCGCGCCGGACACGTCCGGACGGCGCCGGACGCGTCCGCCGCCGCGCCCCCTCCACTCGCGCGCCGCCACCTGTCGCCTCCCTCCACCGCGGCCCGCGGGATCCACCGCCGCATGCGCATCCGCGCCGCCTCCGCCGACGCGCCGCCGCCTCGCTCCGCTCTGGCGCGCCGCCGACTGCAACTCCGGCCGCCGGATCGCGCCACCTCGCCGGACCGCGCCTCCCGGCCCGCGCCCGAGGCCGCCGCCGTCGTCCACCTCCTCCGCCGCTCAGCTCCGCCCGAGCGCCGGCGAGCTCCACGCCGGCCACCGCCTTCCTCTACTCCGGCGAAGACCCCGACCATCCTCGGTTTGCGCGCCAGATCCAGATCCAGATCGGGTCAAACCCTAGGTTGACCCCGTTTTTCCCTAAGTCCCTAAAATTTTCAGCTCATATTCATTGCGTCATAACTCTGTCACCGTAGCTCCGTTTTGGGCGTGCCTTATATCAAAATGTTCATCTGGATGTCCTCTTCATTTTTTGTTCCATTGCACCATACTTTTTTGAGTCCATCTTGATGCCCAAATTGTTGATGCAAGAGTGCTATAAAATGTTAGTTCCTGATTCTTATCAGACTATGAGCATTTGTCATTTTTATTATGATTATTGTGTGCTGCATATGGTCATGAGCTCTACATGTGTTTTGGGTTATGCCATGTCATCTTTACGCGGGTGTATGACATGTATTTTTGTGATCAATGTGGTGACTAGCACAAGCATGCAAAGTAGCTCTCGTGATATTACTGATTTCAGGGACTTCGAATTTTAATAAGTCATTTTCCTGCTGTTATTTTTATGCCTTGTATTCATATTGCTACAGAGTAATCCATGCTTTTTTTGAGTATGTTCAATAAGGATGATTTGAACATATCGTTGTGCTCTATCCATGCATGCCTCTGTTTGCATTTATGGAGTGCCCTAGCATGACTCAATCTTGCTCTATTTTTGCTATAAATATTCCTGGCAGATTGTTTACGTGTTAATCAATTTAGCCAAGGTTGTTGTAGTTGATCCATGCATGCTATGAGATTATTCTTGCTTTTCTTGGCTTCATGAACATGTCTTATTGCTGGTAGTATGCTTAGTTTATCATGCAAGGCCTTGTGTTGAGTGCATCAAGCTCGCAAAGAGGCATTCGTAACTTTGTTTTTGTCATGTCCAATTTTTCTGCCAAGTCTAAATCTGTTAACGAAATTTACTTGTATATATAAGAAAATACGTGCATATATTAGTCATCTGCATGTACAATTTTCTTCAGAAGTCTTTGACATCCAAAACCAGTGCTTTCGATTGGCTACCTGCCCTGTCGGCTGAGTTCTAAATCGTTATTTGGTCCCTAGATGCCCTTATCTTGCTCCGTTGCTTGTTGGCTGGCCACGTACGCTGCCTTTTATCCGATTCCGTCGGCTGATGCGAACCAGTGGCTCGTATGCATGCCAAACGTGTGATTTTCTGTAGGTAGATGAGATGTCCTTTTTTGCTGGCTAAAGTGTGATACATTTGTATGGACTTCTCTTAGATAATGAATTTGCATGAACAAGTGGTAAGAGCTTTCATACGAGAATTAGGAGCCAAGCCATATCCGACTTCGAAGACCACGCAGAACTGATGCGAGCTGCTTCTTCTTCTTCTCCTTTTCTCCTCAAAAAAGCTGCTTCTCCTTTTACTACTGCTGCTTATATTCTCTTTTTAGACATTATTTATTTTGTATTTATTTATTCTAATGCATAGTGATAATCATATTTTTATTCAAGTTGCTTCTCCCTTTACTACTGCTTCTTATATTTCCCTTTTTAGACTTTATTGTTTTGGTATTTATTCTAATGCATAGTGATAATCTCGCCCTTGAACATTTTTTTTATTTTGTCGTCTGTTTAACCATTTTTCCTCTATCATCGTGATCTTTTACATCAAAGTTACGAAGTAACGATGTTGCTAATTCTCATGGTAATAGAGAGAATTGGTTAAATAAACGATAAAATGAACAATAACTACTTCGAAGACGCATGTTCAATCAAAATTTAGGACTCGTGCAAGCGCAGAGGGCATGGGAAAATCTAGATCAAATGACGATGAGCAGTTGGAGTAATATCTTTTTCTTGAGGATTCCTCCTCCTTGTATGTGTTGCCACTTTGGTTGGAGTTTATTGCCGCAATATGCCTGAAAGACGCATGGGCCCTTACATTCCTCGCTCAGCCTAGTCCGATTTTTCTTTAGCAAGCGGTCTTTGTGATCATTTGCGTGTTTACTTATTCCTAGTATGTGCATTTTTTCCAGTCCAGTTTTTACCTGAATTTTTTTTTGTTTGTGAAGATTTTCCAGAATTTATGAATTTAAATTCATGAATATTTCCAAATATGAAAAAATCAAATCATTTAATAGTTTTGAAAATTCAGTGAAAATTGATGAATATTTCCAAAATTTGGGGAAACGGTTAAATTTAAGAACATTTTTTAAAACCACCAAACATTTTAAAATTTTATAAACAATTTAAAAAAATACTTGAATGGGCTTAAAATTCATTATATTTTCTCGAATTAATCATTTAC